AGTTGTGGAGTGAGATTTGAATCCAACAGTTAGGCTCCAGAGTCCCTGCTCTTAACCCTTCTTCTCTATTCAACTTCACTACTGATTTTTAAAAATGAAAATAAAGATGATAAAATAAGAGGAAATTATATATCAATTCCTTTTTAATAAATTTCATTTAAAATTTGGTAGCAATTTTCCTGCTTAAGGATAGAAAATAGATTTTAAATCTTCTAGAAATAGTCACTATAGGGCACCTTTTTAATTATATAAATGTAAGTCAGGAATTTGAAATAAAGAATATCCATGAGTCCATACTGATACAAATTATTTAATAAATAATTAATTAATTCTCACTTGAGAATTTGTCTAAATTTCCCAGGCAGAAGAATTCCAAATGATGTATGAACATACAGGCTACCCTAGAGTAAGTGGAGCTCAAATCCTCTAAAGAACATGGTAACTTCTTTAGAGTACATAAAGGAGAAAAAGAGTAATTTTTACAAATGAAAAAAACCTGACAAACACTACTTCATCAAATTATCAAGTTTACTTAAGAGTAATGTCATGTTCATAATATAAATCCATGGAATGACAAATGATATGATATGATATGACATGTTATAATATATGAGAATAGCACTTTACCTATGTGATCTTCCTCCAAGACATACAACCCAATCCAATTATGAGAACATCATCAGACAAATTTCACTGAAAAGCAGCCCCCAAAATGTCCACCAATTAATTCTCAAAGCTGTCACAGTGATAAAAAATAAGAATCTGAAAAACTGTCATGACCTACAGGAGGTTATGGAGACACAGCATCTAAATCCAATGAGATAACCAAATGAGATCCTGAAACAAAAATAAAGGAAACTAGGTAAAAATTGAGAAAATCTTAATAAAACATGGACCTTGGTAATAATGTGTCAACCTTGATTATTACAAGTGAAAAACGTACCCTACTAAAGTTAGTGTTAATAATGGGGGGCGGAGAAGGCTTTCAGTGCATTCCAGGTAGAATGGCAATCATTAATACAAATAATAATAAATTCTAGCAAGGAAAAGAAGAAAACTTGTACTGTTGATGGCACTGTAAATTAGTACAACCTCTATGAAAATCAGTATGGAGGCTTCTCAAAAGACTAGGAATAGAAACAACTTATGACCTAGCTATACAACTTCTCAGTATTTATCCAAAAGAATTAAAGTCAGCATACTATAGTGATATGATACAATGTATACCCATTTTTATTGTGCAATTAACAATAGCCAAGTTAGGCAACCAACCTAACTGTCCATCAACAGTTGAATAAAGAAATTGTGGCATATATACAGAATGTGGTTTTAGTGAATCATAAAGAAGAATGAAATTGTATAATTCACAATGATGGTACTAGAGAAAAAATTGTACTAGAGAACATCATGTTAAGCAAAATAAGCCAGTCTCAGAGAATCAAGCATTATGTTTTCTCTCCTATGTGGAAGCTGGAGAGAAAAAAAAAAGGAAATTCAGTGGTGCAATCTCACAAAAATAAACCAATAGGACAGAAGAAGGGGATGATGGAGAGAAAAGAAGTATTGAAAGGGGAGGTACTAGAGAATGAAATTTACCAAATTGTGTTATGTTCATGCACGAGTATAACACAATGAATCCCACCATTATGTATAATTATAATGCTCTAATAAAAATTTTAAAATAACTAGGACATGGTGGTGCACATCTGTAATACCTGTGGCTCAGGAGGCTGAGGCAGGAGGATCACAAGTTCAAAGACAGCCTTAGCAATAGAGAGGCGCTAAGCAACTCAGTGAGAGACTGTCTCTAAAATAGAGCTGGTGGTTGAGTGCCCCTGAGTTCAATTCCTAGTACACCCCCAAAATGTTTAAATAATAAGGGGAACTGGGAGTGGGATATATAGAAACTCTGTGTACTCTTTTCATATTTTTTTCTATTAATCTAAAATTATTCTAAAATAAAAAGTTCACTTTTTCACTTTCTATTTTCTATAACTATCTATTTATGATAGCAATCCTAAAGAGTGTCAAATGGTATTTCATTGTGGTTTTGATTTTCATTTCCCTGATGACTTAGTGATGGTGAGCATTTTTTCATGTGCTTATTGACCATTTGTATCTTTGTTGGAGAAATGTCCATCCAGATTCTTTGCTCATTTTTAAATTGAATTTCAGATGGATCATTTGTCTTTTCATTATAGAGTTGCAAAATTTTTTTGAATATTCTAAATACAAATTCTTTATCAGATATGTGATTTGTATTTTATCCCATTTCATGGTTATCTTTTTATTCTATTGATGGTATTTTTTTAAATGTGAAGGTTTTAAATGTTGATGAAGTTTAATTTATCTATTTTTTTCTTTCATTGCATGTGATTTCAGGGCAATATATAAGAAGACTTTGCCTGACCCAGATATGAAAAAGATTTATTCATTTTTCTTCTACATGTAATTTCAGTTCTTAGATTTAGTTCTATGATCTATTTTGAGTAAATTTTGTGTATATTGTGAGGAAGAAGTCCAACTTAGTTATTTTTATGTGGATATCTAATTATCCCAATATCATTTTTGAAAAGACTATTCTTTGCCCCACATAATGAATTTGGTTCTCTTGTTGAAAATCAATTAATCTTAAATGTGAGAATTTATTCCTGTGCTCTCAACTCCATTTCATTGATCTACATATATATCATTATATCAGTGACATGAAGTTTTGATTTCTGTCGCTGTGCGGTTAAGTTTTAAAATAAAGAAATATAAGTACTTCATTTTTTTTCCTTTTTAAAAAATTGTTTTGCCCATTCTAGGTACCATGAGTTTTAAGATAAGTTTGTTGACTTATTCCAAAATGTCAGTTGGATTTTAGTAGAGATTGCATTGGATCTATAAATCAAGTTAGGGAGTTAACAATATTAACAATATTGAGAATGAATTAACAATATTAACATTATATTAACAATATTAAGTCTTCCAATACATGAACATAGATATCTTTCCCTTTACTTAGGTTATCTTTTGTAATTTTTTAGTAAATTTTTTGTTGTTTTAATAGTATAAGTTTTGTACTTTATTAAATTTGTGTAAAAATATTTTTTTTCATTTTTGTGCCATTGTAAATGTAAATGCCCTTTTAATTTCACTTTTGGATAATGTTACAGTTTAAATATGAGGTGTCCCCCAAAATTGCATATGTGAGACAATGCAAGAAAGTTCAGAGGTGAAATGATTGGGTTATGAAAGCCTTAATCTAATTAGTGCATTTATACACTATAGAGATTTACTGGACAGTAACTATAGACAGATAGGGTGTGGCTAAAGGGGGTAGTCACTGGGGATGTGCCCTTGGGGTTTATATTTTGTCACTGGTGAGTGGAACTCCCCCTTTCTGCTTCTTGATTGCTATGCCTACTAGAGCTGCTTTCCTCCTCTATACTCTTCTGCCATGATGCTCTGCCTCACCTTGAGTACAGAGCAATGGAGTTGACCATTTATGGGCAGAGACCTCTGAAACCATGAGCATCAAATAAATTTTCCTCCTCTAAAATTGTTCATATCAGGTCTTTTGGTTACAGCAATGAAAAAGCTAACACAGAGAGTCTATTGCTAGCTTATGGGATAGAATTCATTTTCATATACTGATCTTATATTCTAAAAACTTGCTGAGTTTTTTAAAAACATAGTTATAATAGCTTTTTAGTAGATTCCTTAGAATTTTATATACAAAGATCATATCATCAGCAAATACAGATAAATAGTTTTACTCTTTCCTTTCCAATCCAAATGCCTTTTATTCCAGGTTTTTGGTCTTTATCCTAAACAGAAGTGATGAAAGCAGTCATCATTGCCTTTTTCCTGATCTTAGAGGGAAACCCTTCAGTCTTCACCATTTACACTTTTTGTCCCATTATCCCAGAAGTGGAACACATATAAAAACTTCAATATGGTATGTAATATAAATATGACTGACTACATTATAACATTTATAATATAATAATATTAGTTATTAAAGTATATATAAACTCTGTTATTTCCAATCTATTTTAATGCACCATATCAATTTCATTGAATTAAAAACTTGGGAAACATGTCTATCAAATTGAGAAAGTTACCTTATATTTTATTTGTTTTGTTATGAAAGGTATTGGAATTTTCAAATGCTTTTCTACATCTTAAAATGATCATGTGGTTTTTATTTCTTATTGTATTGGCATATTGTATTACATGAATTTACTTTCAGATGTAAACATGTATTTCATTTTTTATGTAAATCACACTGAATCATGGTATATACTCCATTTAATATATTCTGAGTTCTGTGTTATTTTTATATTAAGAATTTTGTACCTGGGGCTGGGATTGTGGCTTAGCAGTAGAGCGCTCACCTTTCACATGAGAGGCCCTCGGTTGGATCCTCAGTACCACATAAATAAATAAAAAAGAGATATTGTGTTCAATTACAATTAAAAAATAAATTTAAAAAAAGAATTTTGTACATAAATTTATGAGAGATTTTTTGATCTATAGTTTTCTTGTGATACCTTTGTCTGGTTTTAGTATGAGGATAATGCTGACCTCATAAAATTATTTATAAAACAATACCTATCTTCTAGTTTTTGGATAAATTTGTAAAGAATTAGAATCAATTATTATTTAAATGTTTGGTAAAATTACCCAGAGAAGTCATCTTATCCTGGACTCTTCTTTGTGGGTTGTTTCAAAAATTATTATTAATACAATTTTTTACTTATTATAGATCTTTTGATATTTTCTTTCATTTGGAAACTTAACAAATATGTAAAAATTAAGCAATACACCCTTGAATAACAAATGAGTCAAAAAAGAATCATGGAAAAATTAGAAAATATTTTGAAATGAGTGAAAATCAAGGTATGTTATACTAAAATTATGGGATGTAGCTAAAGCAGTGATTAAGGAAAGTTTATTGTTACAAATATGTATATTAAAAAAAAGAAAGGTCTTATGTCAATAAAGTAACTTACCTCTCAAGACACTGTTCAGACACCATACTTTATGATTGATTCTTTCAAATTCATTGAGTTTATTTTATGGCCTGGATATGGTCTACCATGAAGAATTTTCCATGTGGCCTTGAGAAGATCCTGTTGCTATTAGATGGACTGCTCTATAGATGTCTGCTAGGTCTGATTAGTTTATAGCACTTATACTTATCAGGCTTCACCAGAGAAACAAAACAATAAAGAGAGAGGGAAAAAAAATGAGATTTAGTGTAATAAATTGACTCACCCTCTTGTGGAGGCTTAGAAGTCCCTGAGATTACTGGGTGGCAAAGTGAGAACCCAGAAGAGTCAATGATAGAGTTCCAGTATGAAAGAAACAGAGGCCTGAGAACCAAAACAGCCATACAAATTCTGGAGGGCTGAGAACCAGGATAGTTATGGTGAAAGTTACAGTCTAAATGGAGGAGAAAACCAATGCCCCAGCTCAAGGAAGTCAAACTGGAGAACTTACCTCTGACTCTCAAGAATAATTGGTCTTTTTGTTTTATTGAAGCCTTCAAATAATTAGGTGGGAGAAAAACTGCTTCAATCAGTCTATAGATTCAAATGTTATACTAATCCAGAAACATCCTTATAGATACAATCAAGATAATTACCATATGATCCAGCAGTCCCACTAGTGGGAATATATGCAAAGGAAATACATCAGTAAGCTGAAGAGACATCTGCATTGGCGTGTTTATTGCAGTACTATCCATGATAACTAAGTATGGAATCAACCCAGGTGTCTATCAGTAGATGAGTACATATAGAACATGTTGTACATAAGCCAGGTGCAGTTATGCACACCTGTAATACCAGGGACCAGGAGACTGACAGGAGGATCACAAGTTCAAGGCCAGCCTCAGCAATCTAGCAGGACCCTCAGCAATTTAGCAACAACCTCTCTGAAAATACAAGGTTTTGTAAAAAGAACTGGAGATGTAGCTCAATAGTAAATAAAGTACCTCTACATTCAATCTTCAGTGCCCTCCAAATGTGGAATATAAACAAAATTAAATATTACTTGGGCATTCAAAAGAATAAAATTCTGTCATTTGCAGCAACATTGATGGAACTAGAGAGCACTATGTTAAACAAAATGTCAGACAAATATCACACATTCTCATTCACTTGTAGAAACTAAAAAGTCAATCTCAAAGAATTAGAGAAGAAAATAGCAGTTACCAGAACTTGGAAAGGGCATGGGGAGTAAGAAGGGGTGAATAAAGAGTAGTTAATGGGTATAAGGGTGCAGCTAGATATAAGAAATAACTTCTAATGAGTCATATACCACAGTAGGATAACTATGGTTGACCACAATTAATTGACTATTTTAAACTAGCTAGTAGAAATGATTTTAAATTTCCCCAACACAAATGATATATGTTTGAAATGATACAAATTCCAACTACCCTGATCTGATCATTACACACCATATATATATATTGCAATGTCATGCTTTACCTCATGGATATGTATAATTATTGAGTTAATTAAAATTAAAATGCATTTTTAAAATGCTTTCCTTGACTTTTGAATGTTCCAGTTGTTGAACACAATGTTGTTGTTTTCTGTATCTGTTCTTAAAGTGATCAAATACATTTATACTGTTTAGATTCCTTTATAATTTTTTTACTCCTTTCAGGAAAGTTGGGCTGAATTTTGAATTTTACTTCATCAGGTAACATCTAATCTCTTGCAGTCTTAATATGATTCTGATTTTGTAGATTATTAACCTTCACTCATTGTCACAGTTGAGAAAAATTCTATTATTCTGTATGCTAAAGTAATACTGAAATCCTCAGCTGGATTTGGAGCAATTCATTGTACCTCTTAGTACTAACTTAAAGCTAAATATTTGCAAGTGCTCTACTCAGTTGCCTTGCTTTAAAACAAAACAAATATCGTTCTAATCTTAAAGTGTAAGAGGCTTAAGCTTGAAAAAAATTTTTCCCTAAATGTAATCTCCGCAATCCCTATGATTGCCTAGGCAAAGCTACACACTATAATTCAAGTTTGTTTGCATTTCTATAATAATGTGGCTCAAGTCTTCTGAAAGTCATTTGCTATGCTAAAATTATTGGCCCCGTGAATTTGTGGGACTATTGAGCTGTACTCTCCACATTTTCTCTGAAACTATGGATCCCTAATTCTTTAATAAGGCCCATTCTCTTATTAAAGTTCTCAATCCAGATATTTTCTGAGATATGAATGACCTAAACTTTGCTAAAGTCTGATAAAGCTTGGATGAAAGGCCTTGACTTGGCTTTGGCCTGCCCACAAATTGCTAAAATCAATGTTGTCTATGAAATAACAGCTATGAATTTTCTGTAGTGACTCATCAAGGTCCAAACCCTGTGATTCCCTAAGGCCTCAAGCCACTCATTTAGCCAATAAAAAGCCAACTATACAACTATAAATATAGCCTCAAGGTCCCAAATAAGTCTCTGAAAACCATTGTGATAATAAAAGCAAATGTGACTCCATTTTGTTTTATAACTTTATCCTATAAAACAACCGTGCCAAATAGAAGGATCATGACTGGGGCAAGATGTTCTTTTCCTTTTGCTATATAAACCTTTAAGAACAACACGGAACTATCTAATGGGGCATTCTGTAACTAGGGTAATGGGGCTCTGTTTCTGTAACTGGGGTGACTGAGCTAACTGTGATTGGTTAGGCTTCTCACCCCTTGACTGCACTCTCCCGCTTCTGTAACCTGGCTTGCTTGCATTGGCTAGACCCCCGAACATCCCTTTTGCGGTTTTCAGGCTTATAAGGAGTGCCCTTGCAATTGTTCGTGGCTAATCAGGGGAACAACTTTATGTTCTGGTCAGTCACCACCAGTGTGCTTCAATAAAGGCTTGATTCGATTATACATGAGTGGTCTGGAAGTCAGTTTATGAAACCCCAAGACGAAGCTTTAACTATAACATCTGGGGGCTCATCCAGGATCCATTTCTTCTCTTCCCTCATGCCAAATTTGCCTTCAAAGATGGGCCTTTGGACCTCGAGAGATGTTCCTCAGCCTCACTCTGAGGGTGACTTCAATCTATCCTAGGACGCTCTGAAAAGCCTCCTGCCGGCCCAGTTCTGGTGAGTCAACTCTTCTGGAGAAAAGGTCAGATTGAATGCAGTCACTTACACCTTTCAGGGGGCAGAAGGAGACATTGTCACTGTCTCCCTGGAGGTCTCCTTGTGTGACCTCATCTGTATCTGGGGCCCACTGGAGGCCTCCCTGCGAGGCCTCAAATCTGTCTGGAGGCAGGACGAGATGTGGTCTCTGCCCCATTAGAAGTCTCCCTGTGTGACCTCAGCAATTGTTGCTTGTCCTGTGTCTGTTCTGCTGTTTGTTGTTTCTCCAGCGTCTTCTTGCTGTTTGTCATTTGTCCAGTGTCTATTTGCAGGCCACATTTGTATTTATCTGTCCATGTGTTGTGCGTGGGCCCTTTTCTTGTTCTCATAACTACTCTGCTTTCATTAGGACTCCTTTGCTCCACCGACATATGGGACAAGGAAGCGCTACAGAGATCTCTACCTGTACCCCTTTAACTTGTTTTCTTAACAATTTTCAGGACTTTGTCTATTGGTTTGTTTTTGTTTGTTCCCTTTGTGTTCTGTGTTAAGTCTACCTCAGTTTGTTTCTAATGGTAAAAAAGATGATTAAAATGGTTTTAACTGTGCTCACTACAGCTTGCATTAAAATGTAAAGTGCTGCCAATAGGACTAAAAGAATTGTCAAAAGTAAAAGCTAAAGGTAAAAAGAAAAAGGCATTCATTTATATTGTCTTCATTTAGGAACTGGGCCAAGTGGCCAACAGGGTAAATCACGTCAGTTCCTTTAGAGGAAAGATTAAAACTAAAGTGTTTTATAAAATTATTATTCCTAAATTATATAACAAAAAACATAATTTTGTCTAGAAAATTTGGCTTTTGTCTCTCAGCATTTGCATGCATGAATAACTTCCAATTATTAAAAAATTGTCTAAAGATTTTTCAATGTCAGGCTAAAAGTTGGTGGCTGCTATCCAAGAAACCAGAAAAAAACAGTTTAAAATTTGGGACCCCAACCTAGGGGATTCTCCCAAGGAGACCAATAAAGCTTCATCTTTGGGAAGTTCCTCCAGGGAGAAATAAGCCCCCTTTGTTTGTCTATGTTCCCTCACTCTTTTCAGCTTTCATGAACAGGACCACCTCAGAAAAAAAAGTTAGAAAAATTTTTAAATTCTATATTTGTTAAATTTATAATTTTGATCCAATATGCTTAGGTTAATATGTTTTTCTGATTACACCTGCTTTTATTCTAAGGCCAATTTACAAAGGCTAACTATCTAATAGGTTTTTAACAAATAAGCTACAAGGCTTTTGTTTTGTCTGTTTCCTTTGTGTGGGTGCACCGGTGTACTACCTGTCTTCACGTATTGCCATGTCTACATATATTTGGTACAAAAAGATTAACTATGAGCTCATAAATTATAATTTTTTAAAAAAGGATCCAAATACTTTTGGTTAATATGATTTAAAAGGTTCAATTCAAATTGGGAAAATAGATAAAAGTACAAATGTCTTTAAAGTTACTAATGCACAGTTTTGTTTCTAGATAGTAAACAGCTGTTAAAATGTTAATGTCTATAAAGTGTCTGACATCCATTGTCTCTAGGATTTTTCTTCAACAGGAAAAAAAGGTTACTAATACTATTCAATGCATTGTCTGATACCTTGTTTTTTAAAAAAAAGATACGTGAATTATATCTAAACCTATATAAAATTAATCATGGATGTGTTTGTTAGAGACATCTAATTGATACAAAGTTAAAATGCTGACTGTTAAATATAATATCAAATACTCTTAACTCCTTAAATTCCATAAGGTAAAATATTTAAACAATGTTGGTGTTTTCATAAACTGATAAACTAAAAAGGATAAAATCATTTTGTGTTATTATAAAAACAAGGTTACTATAAATTACAAAGTCCCAACAGGTATAATTCTACATACAAGGAGTCAAAAGGTTTCAACTGTATTTCAATTAAAGTACTGTAAATAACAAATATTTCTTCTTATTAAAATGGATTAATTCATTTAAATTCAAAATTTATAAGGGTTATTTCAAGGTACAAACAGATAAAAAGGGATCAATGGATTAATATTTATTAAAAAGTTCTAAATATAAAAATATATTCAATAAAAAACGTTTCCAGGTAAAAAGTCTTTATGTGGTAAAGTATAATTATAATACAACTAAGTAAACAAAAGGGTCTAATTAAGTAATGTAAAGGTCTATAAATAAAAGACAAATATTAAAAGGTCTATATATAACTAAGTTGGTTATATATGTAACACAAATAGTTAAAACTATTCAAGGTTGTTCTCTAAGAACAAATAATAATGTACTTATATATTTATATGTTAAAATGACAAAACTTCTAAAAATATTAATTACATTGTATCTATTAAGTTTTATCCCCTAAAACAAATAATCTTGGAAAAATTAAGGTTTGTACATCCATGGCTAAACAACAACTGTTATTTTAAAGTATTGTCCTACATTACAGAGTCTAGATTTTCCTTTAAAACCTAACCTTGGTTAATATAAAAACATCATTAAAAGTGTGGTACATTACTCTTCTTTACAAATTAAATGTGTTTATATCTTTCAGGTATACAAGTCTTTAAGGTAAAAGGTTTAAAGGAACATTTTATCAAACTGGTATTCTCCAAATTAAAATTGTCTGTAATGGTAATTTAAACTTATAAATATAATAGATTTTATTGGGGATTTATTTATATTATTTGATTTTTTGAAACCAAATCTTATGTTTCCTTTTACACTAAAATATAAAAATTTAAAGATATTTTTAAAAGTAATGAAAGCCTAATGTATTTAAAGATTAATATTATAAAACATTTGCCACTTTTCCACATGGAAAAAAAATGTTAAGGACTCTCAGCCTTTCCTTAATTAATGTTTCAGATGTATGTCATATTGTGATACTAACATTCATACAGAGTCAGAAAACAATATATGTAAACTTTATAAAATGATATCTAAAAAGAGAGACAAAGATCAGCTTTAGAACTGAAACACTTTACCTAAGATTTGTAAAGAGCCCTGCTTTACTGAGATAAGGCTCTGCCTCCTACCTTACAGCATGTCATAGTAGGCCAGATTTCAGTTGATTTAAAGTTATATTAAAAGATTAATTTTATTGGAAAGATTACTGTGACCTCAAATAGAAAATATAATGTATAATTCAGCCAAGGTTCAAAATAATATATAAGCTAAATATGTTTTTACTATTGTTAATTTCACTTTGTGTTTTCATTATAACTAAAAAAAAAAGTGACCATGACACTCAGAGCAACCAAGAGACCTTTATTGTGGCAGTGTCTGATTAACACAAAAGAGAGAGAGAGAGAGAGAGAGAGAGAGAGAGAGAGAGGAAAGTGCAAAAGAAAGAGAATGAAAAATGCAAGAGAGAGAGAGGGGGAAAAGAGAGAGGGAAAGAGTGAAGAGTAAAAGGGAGAATGAAAGAGAACAAAAGGGAGAGAAAAAAGAGAGAGCAAGAGAGGAGGAGGACCTGGTAAGAGAGAGCTTTTATAGCCAAAATCTAATGGGGTCTCTGGGTCTGCAAGCTGCCTTGTTGGCATGCAGTGATAGGATCATACAGTAGATGCTAAGGTATCATCTTCTGCCTTCAGGCAGATCTTCAGCATTACATAAATTAATAAATAAGGATATTGTGGTTTGTAAAAATTAATTGTAAAGCTAAAAACATTAAAGTCCAGCATTCTTACTTTAAAACTGGTAAAACTGACTTGCTGGATGTTTAAGGCCAAACTTAAATATTAAGGTGCTAAAGAAACCAACATTTGGCTCTTTTTTTAGAGAGAGAGAGAGAGAGAGAGAGAGAGAGAGAGAGAGAATTTTAATATTTATTTTTTAGTTTTCGGCAGACACAACATCTTTGTTTTCTATGTGGTGCTGAGGATCGAACCTGGGCCGCACACATGTCAGGCGAGTGCACTACCGCTTGAGCCACATCCCCAGCCCCAATATTTGGCTCTTGATCTCTGAGTCAGCCTGAACCCAGGACAGGGGGAAAAGCTTTGCAACTCCGGGCCACATAACCTCCCAATAAGGGAGATAGGAGACCCCTGGAGAATAGAAAGCCAATGAGTGTACATGCTGCAAAAGAGGAGGGTCATTGAAAAAGGGAGACATGCTAGATGCTTCCAAGGGAAGCCACATGGTCAGCAAGACCTTGACCCATCCTAATGCAGATGACACTAACAGAGCACTAAAATGCTGATCACAAGTTCCCCAAGAATGTCCTCCAAGGAAACTCAGCTGACTCTTACCCATAGATAGAAACAAGGTCAGTTTGACCAGCTTGGTCTTAAACACCTAGCAAAACCAGTTAAAAACCAAAGCACAGCCATTCCTGGGTATTTAAAAAGAAACAACAGTTATTTTAATGTAACTTAAAATGTACACTTGTGTTAACACCCCTCAAAATAAGTAAGACAACAGAAGAGAGATTCTTAGGCAAAAATGCCTGATAACTACCAATAAACATTGCCAGAAGTTTTTAGTCAGTTTAAGGCCCTACAGATCTTCCTAACTTCCTACACAGGTAGACAATGTTTTCTAGTATAATTATCTAGCCCTAGTTGTAAAAAAAAGATAAAGGGATCTCTACTAAACACAGAGGTCATGCCAATAAAGATATTTTACAAAAATCAGATGACATTACCTAACTTAACTAAATGTTGTATCCACATTCCTGATAATTCTGACAATGTTAAAGATTTATGTTCGCTAAAAAGGGTCTTATTAGGCTTTGTTAGGCCTTGTTATGGGTACAATTTCTCAGTTATTCCACCTCCTAGTAAACAATTATTAATTTCTGTCATTTTCATGATATTCATGGACAGGTTTTCAGATGCTTCAACTGCTATTTTGTATTAATCTTCTTTCAATACTCATGTGGTTTTTGTTTGTTTGTTTGTTTCTCTCATAGAAGTGCCCACCCCCAAGTAAATTTACAACCTGTTCTTCCTTAACCAGATTTTTTACATGGACTCCTTGACCCTCTCAATTTCTAAAAGGGGACTTCAAACTGCTTGCCCACTGCACATCGCCCCCTTTCAGCTCAAAGTAGCAAGAACGGTCATTGCCCTTTACTCTTACATCAGTAGGAGGTTCCTAACACTAAAGAAAAAAATTACGGTCAATATAGATGTTTGCCAATATTAGTCTAGCTCAGGAAGATGTACCTGGGAAACTACTCCCAAGATCACCCTGGGTGATCTCCCAGAAAGAGATACTTGATTCTACAACCCAACTTATAAGTGGAACAACTCCCTGTTTACCAAAAATTGTGCTTCCCGGGTGCCACTTCGAACCCCTTGCCTAAATCTCCAAACTGTCAATAACTTTGAACTATGTAACCCACTATTATTTTGATGGAGTAAAAGGAAAAGAACACCTGGACTTATTACAAGGCCAGGGCCCATTGATTTATCAACATAGACTGACTACCCCCATTTTAGTTCCCCTCCTGGCTGGCTTGGGAATAGCTGGATCTACTGCTTTGGGAACAACAACTCTTATCACAGGCTCTAAAAATTTTAAGTCCCTCAGCCATCAAATTGATATAAATTTAAACTTCAGGCAATTGGTTCCAAAACTTATTCTCATGGTCCCCTTGGTTGACTACCATCATTTCAGCTGTAGTTGGGCCCCTAGTACTTCTCCTGATTGGGATTACTGTAGGACCCTGCCTCTTAAAAACCCTCCTAAACCATATACACAAGAATGTAGGTGAGGTAAGACTTATGGTCTTATGAGCCCAGTGTGGTCCCTAGACACATAAGGATGAAAAAGAAACTGAAGCCTAATGATGTGCAAGATTGACATCAAACCTACTAAAACCAGTGGGGAATGTGATAGTAGAAGCAAATATGACTTCATTTTGTTTTATGACTTCATCCTGTAAAACAACATGACAAGTAGAAGGGTCATGACTGGGGCAAGATGTTCTCTTCCTTTTGCTATAGAAACGTTTAAGAACACGGAACTACCTAATGGGGCATTGTTTCTGTAACTAGGGTAATGGGGCTGTGTTTCTGTTAACTGGGTGACTGGGCTAACTATGATTGGTTGGGCTTCCCGCCCCTTGACTGCACTCTCCTGCTTCTGTAACCTGGCTTGCTTGCATTGGCTAGACCCCCGAACATCCCTTTTGTGGTTTTCAGGCTTATAAGGAGTGCCCTTGCAATTGTTCATGGCTGATCAGGGGAACAGCTTTATGTTCTGGTCAGTCACCACCAGTGTGCTTCAATAAAGGCTTGATTCGATTATATGTGAGTGGTCTGGAAGTCAGTTTATGAAACCCTGGGAACAAAGCTTTAACTATAACATCATCAAGGCCAAAAGCTTGCCTTGGCCATAAATAGGAGAAAAAAAAGTCAAAATAGTATTTTTGAGTACCCAATTATGAGGGTGTTTTATCCTCTTTCTCAATGAACTTTTAACAATGAATCAAAAGTTAATGATTTCTTGAACAAATTGACCCTCCAAAACTGCGAACTCCTGTATCATCTTTAAAGAAAAGGGGTCAGAGTAACATCATTTCCCTGCCCCCTTTCTTTTCCTAAAAATCTAGCCACATTGGGGAAACAATGAGAGCAAGCTCTCTCTTGTGAACACTAAGAACTAGAACAAGTTAGAGTACACCAGGACAGTTGCTCCTTGGGATGCTGATCATAAAACAAACTAAGCAAACTAAAGCTGATGATGTCACTGCTTCTGCAGCCTAACATATAAA